TATTTGATTTTCCTTTATCACTAGGTTGTTCTTCATCTCTCAATAGGTTTCTTTTTTTCTGTTCCCATCATTTCGAGTTTCATCTCATTTTATCTTCCAGTATATTTTTTTATCTTCCAGTATATTTTCCGATTTTTGTACTTATTTTTTTATCACCAGGTTATTTTCTTGCTTTCGATGTTTTTCTTTTCTGTGTTTATCATTCCGAAGTTCAACTCACTTCTTGGGGTGATGCATGAGAAACAGGAAGCACTTCAAAAATAGGAGGGAAGTGACAGCGTTCGATGAGGGGGGGGGGGGTGTCCGGATGTCCGCGCATGTTTTGTTTGGATAGGGTGGTTTGAAAAAAGGGAATCAAGAAGGAATTAAATTAAAAATGGTGAGGGGCAGGTGCCGCGGCTTGTTTTTTGGCCAAAAATGACTCATTTCTGTGTCAAAGTGGTTTTTTCCGTGTTTTTAGTTTAACCTTTATCGATAAGATATTATTTTGCTCTCATTATGTTTTTTTCTTTTGTAATAATCAATTTGATTAACAGAAGGAACGATTTGGAAACAAACCGCATTCCGAGATGTTGATTTTTCGGCACTGTTCTAAAATCGTGGACCGAGAAAAAAAATCGTGGACCGAAAAAAAATCGTGGACCGATGAAGCTAGGCCCGGAAAAAAAATCGTGGACCGAAAAAATTGTGGACCGAAAAGTTCGGTTTTCACCTAATCATTTTTAAGGAATTTTTTCTGTGTATTCATGACAAATGAATACTTTGTGATTGGTATCTGTGCTAAAATGTGAAGTTGTGGCTCTTCTCCGTCTCCCAGGTATTTCAGACATTTCCGGTACTTATGAAAATAAAACTGGGAACCCATGGTTCCGTCGTAGATCAATAATCAGAATTTCAGAAATACCCGGACCTGTGAAATATATATGGGACTCTGAAAAATTTTTCCGGGACATATCCAAATCAATTTGTATAATATAAGAAACATTTTTGTTGTGTTTCCTAAGCCTGTTTTGATAGTGGCTCATTCGATTCACCCTTCGGAAGAGTGAAACACCATTATTAGGCCACACTTAAAAAACACACAGCCCAGGCAACATCAGTTGGAGCTAACATCGTTTCGGATGACACCCGGAAAATATTCCTTCAGTCCCGGAAAAATTTTTTGAGTCCCGTATATTTCATAGGTCCGGGTATTTCTGGAATTCTGATTATTGATCTACGACGGAGCCATGGGTCTTGAGTATCATTTTCATGAGTCCCTGAAATGTTTGAAATACCTGGGAAACGGAGAAGAGCCACAACTTCACATTTTTACCAATCACAAAGTATTTATTTGTCTTGAACACACTGAAAAATTCCTTTAAAAGAATTAGGTGAAAACCGAACCTCAACTCCGGTCCACGATTTTTTCGGTCCACGTTTTTTGTGTGAACACATTATTCAATCGGTCCACGATTTTTTTTCGGTCCACGATTTTTTCGGTCCGCGATTTTTTTTCAGACCTACTTTGATCAGTCCGCGATTTTTTTTCTGGATCCACGATTTTTATTTTCGGTCCACGATTTTTTTTCGGTCCACGATTTTTTTTTTTCTCGGTCCACGATTTTAGAACAGTGCCGATTTTTTTGAGTTTTTCGATTAGAGAATACGACAACTATTCCTATTGTGACGAAGAAAAAGAGGACCACAGGGCAAAACAATTTTAACCCCCTTTAAAGTTACCTAAACCCTTTTTAGCAAAAAAAAGAGGAAAGAAAGAGCATTTGAACGCTGAGCGGATCGAACGCCCAACCTTTCGATCTGGAGTCAAACGCGCTACCATTGCGCCAAGCAGTCGCCGGCAGCTGAGGGGTTGGGGGGGCGTAGAGAAGAGTGTGGGGAGAGGCGGTCGAGCTGAGACAAAGAGGAGGGGGAGAGGGAACGGGGAAGCGACCGGGTCTGTCTGTGGAGTGGGGTGTCTGGATGTCCGCGCATGTTTTGTCTGGCTAGGGTGGTTTGACATTGGGTATCAAGAAGGAATGAGTTTTAAAATGGTAAGGGAAAGGTGCCGCGGCTCATTTTTCAATCGAAAATGGTTTGTTTTTTTGTGTCAAAGTGGTTTTTTCCAAGTTTCAACTTCTTCCTTTATAGCTAGATCATTTTCTCTCTGTAGATATGTTTTTTTTTGTATTAATCATTTTGAGTTTCAATTCAATTTGTTGGGGGATACACGAGAAACAGGATTAACTCCAAGAAAGTACTCGTTTTTCAAAAAATCTTTAAAACTTTCCCGAAGTTTTTTTTTCATTCGTTTTTTACTGCTAGGTTATTTTATTGGTCCCAATATGTATCATTCTTTCGAATTAGTGATTTCGAGTTTCAACTCAATTCGCGAAGAAGTTTGACTATCAAAGTTACAAAACTGTATTCATCGATTTGAAATATACTTTCTCAGTGTTTTGATAACCTGTTCTCTTTCAATTTCTGTTCGTATAGTGTGAAAAAATATTTGTTAACATTGCTTGATTATTTGAAAAAAAATCAAACCTTCATTGATAAAACATTTTGTTTGATTTTTTTTTGCCCGTTGTAATGTTAACCAAAGTCATCCTATGTCTTAGGTGTTTGCGAAAGACCACGCAATAGCTTTTTCTTTCTGCAAATGCTACTTTACACAATAAGATGACGGAGACAAACGGTGACGTGTTCCTCACTTCGGCTTTTGACTCCCGCCTCTTTTTTGAATTTTTTTGCAGCCACCACAAGCATTCATTCTTCTCTTTCTTATGGTCCAACTTGTGATTGTTGGACACCTCATTTATGATTGTTTTGGTGAGCTATTATTTAGAGGGCTTCTGATTGAAAAATATCTTTCCAGAATCAGTTTCTTCTTTTGTCTCTCCGGCGAGGGTCTATCGTTTGATTATTTCGAATATTGGATTGGATTGGGATTTGATGTGTCGGTGAGTGTTTAATTATATATTTGTTTCCTGAAAATTGCAGAATGGTTCAGTTTTCTCACTAATAATCAGCTAGAATTCTCAAAAACGTTAGTGATTCCTTGATGACGGAAGCAAGCGTAGCCTCATTTCTCTCTTTGGGAGCTAAGGAAACGGTGTCAATCGTAGTCATTTTTGTGTTTTCACGATGGATTCCGAGAGTGTTTTTTTTTGCAAATGCCGGTGTAAAATGTTTTGAAAGAAAACAGAATGACTGATAGCATGAAAGAAAACCGACAATAACTATTCGTATTGGACAGAGAGCCCAATTTCGCATGGGACGTAAAATCCAAAACAGCATGAGACAAAGAGTCTACGTATAATCGAGACATGTAGTTCTCAATAACGATGAAAGTTTTGCAGTTGTGTCCGACATGGAAACCGGATCTGATCCGTGGCAACATAAAGATAACATCAGCACCAAGGAAACAAGGGACAAGAGAGGAAATCAAGAAGATTGAGATCAGAAGAGTCCCTGGCGCTGGAGTGCGTTTGGAGATTGCGTCAATGCGAACAAGCAGCGTGACAGTCGGAACGTTCAGTGCAGACAGCTGTGGAAAAGAAAAAGAAGATCTTCGCAGGAATGACAGAAGAGGGAAAGACTTCCGGAGAGCTAGACGTATGGAAGCAAATGGAGGCAGTGAGGACACGGCTCACTGGTTTACCCCTGCTATACCACACAGACTGCGACAACTCCGGGAATAAGTTCAATGAGCTCCAGAACACCGCCACGTTTGTCACAGTTCAGGAGATCTGTGTGCAAATACTGCCACCAAATTGGACACGTAGAAGCTTTTTGTCAGAGCGTCAAGAAAACAGAGATGGAAATCACACAAAGGGAAGTGGAGCCCCAGTCAGCAACTCCCTCACCAAAATCCACGGAGCCACGCTCCATGGAGCTTTGCTCCGAGCGACCCAGCGAAGAAGAAAACTCCGAATACGAGAAGGAGATTGGTCAAGACGACGACGACGACGACGACACCGAGCTCTAAACCAAAGTCTTCCCCCCCCCCCTCCCCGGAGTGTATCCAAGGATACTTTTCCGGATGATTTTCATGTGAGTGATTGTCTCCTTTTCTTTCTCTGTTTTCTTCCTCATTCTTCTCTTCGTCACAACCACTTTATTAAATTGCAAACCCCCACAGTCTCCCCGTATAAAAACTGTTTGGCAAAAGCTCATTCTTTTCACATTTATTTCAGTTTTCTTTCTTTTTGTGCTTTTGATTTCTGTTTCAATAAAACTGTTTTCAACCAAGTCTTGTTACAGTTTTACCACCACACTCTCTCAACCTGTTCGAGGTTAACATAAGAGAACCACCCACGGAAAGACTCGGAGGATCGGAAGAGGAGATCATCTCATGCAAGAATGGAGACGGAGAGGAGCAGAAAAAACCTCCAACAGGAAGACTCGTTGGATTGGAAGAGGATGACATCTTCTGAAAGGCTGGAGGATGGGAGCAGCCAAACAAAAGTGACGCCTCAAGTGGGACTTCTCCAAAAAAGACAAGCCCAAACACACCTGCCTACTGAACAACGGACGGCACATATCCAACTTGTGCCCCAAGTACACAGACGTGGGAATACGGAAATGGATTCTTGAGGAGAAGAAGCTGTGCTTCAAATGTCTAAAGCGAATGTGAGGGCGAACAGAGGAAACATGTCGATATGTCAAGCATCCAATCCATGCTTCCACAATTTTTTCATTAATATTTTTCCTTTGTTTCGGTTAGTAAATAAACCTGTTCAGTGAGCCAAGTTTGAGGTATCTTGTTCACGCCCAACCATACTTCATTTTCCCAATGACCACAATGTTCCACGGGTGGAGAGGATTACAGATTTTGTGGTAATAAATTGATGGTAATGGTAATTAATAGTGATGGTTTGATGGTGATTAGAGTACTGGGATTTTTAACAATAATAGATAGTTTAAGACAAGAAGCATAGGGAAGAAAACCGCCCTGTAAATTTACTTAAAACCCCTTGGAGCAGATGAAAAAACAAAACAAAAAAGAAAAAAACATTTTCCCACTAAGCGGATCGAACGCGTAACCTTTCGATCTGGAGTCGAACGCCCTACCATTGCGCCAGACAGTCGCCGGCAGCTGTGGATAAAGAGGGCATAGAGGAGAGTGCGGGGGAAGGCGGCCGAGCAGAGACGGAGAGGAGGGGGAAGCAGGGGACGCAACAGGGTCTGTCGGCGGGGTGGGTGTGTCCGGATGTCCGCGCATGTTTTGTCTGGTTAGGGAAATTTGAAAAAGATAATCATGAGGGAATGAATTTTAGAATGCTGAGGGAAGGTGCCGCGGCTCGGTTTTAAGTCAAAAATGGCTTATTTCTTTGTCAAAGTGGATTTTTCCCTTTATCGCTACGTTATTTTCTTGCTCTCAATAGTTTTGTTTCTCTGTTTCCATCATTTCGAGTTCCAACTCGTCTAGCACATGAGAAACTGCATTCCAAGAAATTACTCATTTTTCAGGAAATCTTCATGTTGTTCCCGAGGTTTTTTTTACCTTTTTTTTGGATCGCTAGGTAATTCCTTCGTTTGAAGTTTTCGAAATCTCCTAAAACCCTTTGTAGCAAAAAAAAAAAGAAAAAAGAAAAAGCATTTGAACACTGAGCGGATCGAACGCCAAACCTTTAGATCTGGAGATCTGGAGATCTGGACTACCATTGCGCCAAGCAGTCGCCGGCAGCTGAGGGGAAAAAGGGCATAGAGGAAAGTGCGAGGGGAGGAGCAGAGACAGAGAGAAGGGGGAGAATAGGGAAACGACAGGGTCTATCGGTTGGGATGAGTTTGTCCGGATGTCCGCGCATGTTTTGTCTGAATTGCCTGGTTTGAGAAGGAAGATCCGGATGGAATGAATTTCAGAATGGAGAGGAAAAGGTGCCGCGTTTCATCTCTCCTCTATCGCTAGGTTTTCCACTTGCTCTGAATATGTTTCTTTCTTCTGTATTAATCATTTTGAGATTCAACACAATTTGTGGGGTGATGCATAAGAAACAGGCTGCACTTCAAAAAATTATTTCTTTTTTTTTGAGTCGAACCTTCAAAATTTTCCAGGTTGTTTATTTTATTCTCTTTCGCAAGATTATCCCTTACTTTAAAATGTTTGAGGTCTGATGAATAAGTTTTTTTTGCATAAACTGGTTGCAGTTACACAGGTGCCGATCGATATCGTGCGCCTGTGACAGAAAGCGAGAGAAGGAAGAAGAGGACCACTGTAATAGAGCGCATCACATCTGCAATTTTGAAGATTAGTTGTCATCTGATCAGGATTTTTTGAAGATGTGATGCACATACTAACTGTAGCTTCCGAGGCAATACCCGCGAAATTTTTAGCCTTACATGTCATGTTCAATTGGAGAATACGATAACTATTCCTATTCTGACAAAGAAAAAGAGGACCACTGGAAAAAACGATTCATTTTTACCGGTTTTTGGTTGATTCTCCTCAATCGCTAGGCTCTTCAAGTAGGTTCTACGATCTCAAAAACCCGTAAAAAATGTCCCAAACCCTCAAAATTACCTAAAACCTATTGTAGCAAAAAAAAAGAAAAAAGAAAAAGCATTCGAACGCTGATCGGATCGAACGAACGACCTTTCGATCTGGAGTCTAACGCGTTACCATTGCGCTAAGCAGTCGCCGACAGCAGCGGGGATAGAGGGCATAGAGGAGAGTGCGAGGGGAGGCTGCCGATCAGAGACAGAGAGGAGGAGGGGTGGAAGAAGGGTAGCGATAGGGTTTGTCGGTCGGGTGGGTTTGTCCGGATGTCCGCGCATGTTTTGTCTAGACAGGGTGGTTTGAATAAGGGAGTCAGAAGGGAATAAGTTTTAAAATGGTGAGAGAAGGTGCCGCGGCTCGTTTTTGAGCCAAAAGGCTTATTACTGTGTCAAAGCTGTTTTTCACATTTGCTTTTTCTGCTTGGTTTTTCTTCTCCTCTCAATAAGTTTCTTTCTTTTTTGTTGATCAGTTTTGAGTTTCAACTCATTTTGTACATGAGAAACAGGCTGCATTCCAAGAAAGTAATCATTTTTCATGAAATCTTCCAACTTTTTTCCGTATTCGTACTTTTTTTCTATCGTTAGGTTCTTCTCAATCCGAAATATAAGAACCAAGATATCTATTTTATTTTTTCCTGCGGTCATAGTGTGAAAAACTATCTGTTAGAATTTTCCGATTATTTGAAAAAAATCAAACATTGTTTGATCAAACATTTTGTTCGAATTCTTTTGCCAGTTGTGATGTTGACCAAAGCCCTCCTACGTCTTAGGTGTTTGCAGGAGATCACGCAACGGCTTCTTCTTTTTGCGAATGCTACTTTACACAATGGGATGATGTGTTCCTCACTTTTGCTTCTGACTCCCCGCCTCTTTTTCGAACTTTTTGCAGCGACCACAATCCCTCATTTTTTATTTCTTTTTGTCTAACTTGTGATTGTTGGACATCTAATTCTTGATTATTCCGGTGAGTTATTCATGTGAAAGACTTCTGATTGAAAATTATCTTTTCAGAAATATTTCCTTTTCTTGTCTCTCCGGTATGGGTCTACATTTGATTATTTCGAATATTGGATTGGAATGTGATTTGATGCAATGGTTAGTTCTAATTTGTATACTATTTTTTTCCCAAAAAAAAACTCTGAATGATACAGTTTTATTAGTAATTATCAGCTAGAATTTTCAAAAAAAATTTGTGCAGACAGTCTTTTGTTGTAAGAATGAATTACTGAAAAAAACTAGAAGCAACTGTGTTTGTAGGACCTTTCATAGATTTTATTTTAGAAGCTAGGAGTCATGAGTCATAATTATACAACATAATATTCATGCCTAGTAGGAATTAATCATTTGCTGTTATAAGTGTTTCTTTCCCAGTGTGAAAATTGTTTTAACTAGAAATTGAATCATAAAATCCGTTCTGTGCGACTTTTTTTTTCAAATAATGTACAGCAGATTAAGAACATTCGCAATGAAGTTATCCTGTTGAAATGTTTTTTTTTTAAGTCATTGTTGTTTACTGTCATAGTGGCAGCATTTGCTTTCTTAGTGAAGCGGCTCCTTCCGTCCCTCAAAATTTAGTTTTTATATATATTGATCGTCGGGCAAGACCCCTTGGCAAAGTTTAACACGAGAGTTTCCGGCTTTTTGTCTTATTTTCCGGTGTTTTGTTGTATGTAGACCAGGGTTGTGCGGGAATGACCCCTCCAGAAATTTTTCGGGAAAGATGTTTCCCGGTCAAAAAAACCGGGAAAAACCGGGAAATTTCGGGAAATTCGGGAAATTGTTTCTAGGCCAGTTTTCTCTGAAACTTCAAGCACTTTTTCAGGAACCAAGGGTCTAAAAAGCGAAACAAACAAGTTTAGCGACAATCTGTTTCAATTTTTCAAATTTTTGGTACAAATTGGGCGTGCTTCCTTCTCCGCTTGTCTCTAGTTCCCTATTTTGTCTCATTTTCCGGTGAAAGCTGTTGAAAAATTGAAAGTACATCGTTGAAAAAAAATTGAAAACACAAAATTTTGATATTCTTCTTTGAAAAAAATTCTGAATCGAAAAAGCATTTAGTTTTTCATGAAAAAAAATTTTCCGATTTCCCGAAAATTTTTCGGGAAATTTCCCGGTCGGGAAAAACGACTCAAATAACCGGGAAAAACGGGAAATTTCCCGGTACCGGGAAATTTCCCGCACAACCTTGATGTAGACCTCGTTTCCAGAAGTAGTCATCTGGAATTTATCTTTATTTTTCGACTAAGTTCTACTTTTAACTCATCATTCCATCGTATTGTTTGTTAGGGTTAGGAACAAAGTAGGCAGCCGAGTCCTGGTTCATCGTTTTTTTCGCCACATAATTGGATGAATTCATTTTCCAGAATCTTCAAAATGAGCGGAAGAGTTCAAGAAATCGAGAGATTGGTCGAATCGATGGTGAATAATGTGTAGAAGAAAGGACGTGAAGCAAGAGCAAGAGTGAGTTTTTTGATAGAATGATATATATTTTAATCACTTTTAGAACCAAGTGGGCCGAGCCAATTTGAAGGAGATTAGAAGTGTAGTGGAAGGAGAGAAGAGATGGTTCACGGATGTTGTCGAGAACGTCACGCTGGAATTGGAAATCCCGAACACCATCACCACTCACCCAGACGGAGAAGAACAGTTCGCGGAAAGTCTTGGTTCCATCTCCAACCTGTCTGTTCAATGGTTGAGCCAATAATCAATTGGCTGGATCGTATTCTTTTTGGCCGTGCGTGGATATATCCGATCATTTGGGACGACGCCAACGACACATTGAGAGAGCTTGGGCCCCAGACAATTCTCCTCCAGCACATGGGTGTTGAACGACGCGGACATCTTCAAATTGAAGATATGGGGTTAGTTAATTTATATCTGTTTTTTTCTTTAAACAATAATAACTATTTCCAGACCAGCAATCCGTGGACTTCGCATGGAACACTTTGAACTCCATCATGGAATAATCCTTCAATGTGGTGTTTTCGTACGTCTTCTCGAATACGAAGGAATGATGGATTCGTGGCCAGTGGAGCTTGTTTCTGTCCTTCACTAAGCATGGTTTGAATTCAAGTTTATTTCATTGAAACAAATTTTGTTGTTAGCATGAGAGAATTATGGGGGTCATCCTGAACATCGAATGATCTTTGATCTCTAGGGTAGGGGGAGTTAAAGGGGGCCTATCACTAAAAACTATGTTGGGTAGATTTTTATACCATCGGATAGAGCTTGACGAAAAACCTCAAAAATCCTCTTGGAGGTATTGACGGAAATTCCAATTTGACCTGATAAAGCGCGTGAAAGAAAATTTCGTTGTCTGAGAACAGTGGAAATTTGAATTATTTTTCACGCTATTTATTTTCGTTGTCCATCAATTTATTTTTCGTTGTCCGAGAAGAGGACGAGGAAGAAAAGGGCTTATAACTTGGAAAGGGATTTTTTAAGACAAATGTGATCAACTACAAAGTTATTCAAAATTAAATTTACTACATGTTCACTGTTGACAACTTTTTTGAAAAACTTTTGGTTCTTCTGATAAATGTTGTCAAAGTAAATGTTCCCGGACAACGAGATTTTCTTTTACGTGCAATATCAGGTCAACTTGAAATTTCCAATCATACCTCCAAGAGGATTTTCGAGGTTTTTCGTCAAGCTCTATCCGATGGTATAAAAATCTACGCAACATGTTTTTTAGTGATAGGCCCCCTTTAACTGTATGGGTGGTCTAGGGTAGGAACCCTGTAGGGGGGGAGGGGTAGTGTCTATGTCTCTCTCTAGGGTGTACTATTTCGTTGTCTATGTCTCCTATTTTGTAATACTATTTCGTATGTCTGCGCCTCCTATTTCGTAATACTATTTCGTATGTCGGCGTCTCTCACTTTGTAACACTATTTCGTCATTTTTCAATTTTTGTTGTTTTTTTGTTGTTTTTTCGGCCAAGTTGATGTTCCTTATTAATATTTTAATGACCGATAAGTCATCAGCGCATCCCCCTTTGATCTTGCCGCCCCCTTGATATATACCTTTTTCAACAGGTAAGTTTTTGGGGAACATGAAAATGTCCATCATTTTTGTAGTTTTTGTAGTCCTTGGGTTACGGTAGTTTTTCAAATCGATAGGGGGTTCCCCTTGATATTATATTCATTAGAATCGCCTTTTCACGCTGATTCCGAATATCTATTTTGGTTTTCAAAATTCGAAAATTTGGGTTACGGTACTTTTTCAGATTTTTCAGACTTTTTCAAATCCCCTTGACATTATATTCATTAGAATCGTCTTTTCACGCTGATTCCAAATATATACTTTGTTTTTCAAAATTCGAAAATTTTTTGTTTTCGTTGGTCCCCTTCCTCCCCCTTGGTGGTTTATATACCATCCAACCTTCCCTTTGGACGGTCTATAAACAACCCCCTTTTTCTTTTTCTATCGGTAGGGATTGAACCATGGACTTGAAATTATAAAACGGGAAAGTTTGCAAAAAGCGAAGTTTTTTGGATTCTAACTTTTTAAAAAATCTGAATAGAACTTCTCAACAACTTAAGTAAACATTAAATATTCCAGCGTCTCACTGCCACGAACGAAAGGCAAAATGTGGTCCTCCAATGGCACCGTGAAAATGATGATGCCCGTATTGCATCGAGACAATGCCCCGTGTGCCTCGGCGATTATGGCGATGTTCATGTACCTACCATAATTAGTAAGTTACATTAATATAGTCTTTGTAATATAAAGTACAATGAAAAAAAAAATTCATCCTAGAACTTGTACAATAACCAAACGGAAGGGAAACAACAATATTCTCATTTACTCTGTTATTTACAGTTATCTGGGAATACTGTTATAATAGAAAAAAAACTCAGTTTTTCCGAAACATTCTGAAAAAATAGAATGAGCACTCTGTTCGAATAAGTTCTTTTTTTTTAATTTTCTTTAAAAAAAATATTTCATATAAATATATTATATATTTCAGTTGTTGAACAAGAAGTAGACCCGTCCGAATCCGTTGTTCCGTTGTCCCGTTGTCCGTTGAATCCGCTGTCCGTTCGAAGCAGTTGTTGAAAATTATTATTTTGTTGACCTTTTTTTTTTTTGTTAATAAAATAATATTGTTGATTTCTCATTAAAAAAAAGATTGTAAAAGA